TGCCACAAGGACTCCTTGTTCTTTTTGCTGATACGGACTAACACGGCTACCACTCTGAAACCTGCATTAACACTGACGCTTTCTGGCTTGCTTTTGGATCCAAAGCCATCAGCAGTTGAGAGACTCTGTCTTAAAAGGGACACAATCAACTTCCACCAGAATTTCGATTACTTTCCACTTTTAACTCCTGCTTCCAAAACACCCAGCCATCTGAAAAAGAAAACAACCTATTGTGGCTCCCTTTGGAGCCCTAATAGGATCTTAATTAGGTAGCATGGTATGCTTTTGCATTTCTTTTACCCCTTCTACAATATACACTGCACGTTTTGGGGAAAACGCACATTCCTTCCATAGTTTAACTTTTATAACATTAGCCATATTAATTTTGCCATAAGGTGTAACTGTTTCTTTTGTGCTCACAGAGTTTTTATGTTCCCTTATCAAAGTGACAGTTTGATGACACAGAGCCACCTTAAGGCTCTGTCTGGGGCACTGTCTTTTTTTTTAATTTTATTTATTTATTTATTTTTGACTACAACTCTTATTTGCTATTTTGTTACTAAAAAACAAATCCGGAATTTTTTCCCATTCTCCTGGGTTTGACTGCCCTGCTGCAGCCACGACTTTGGTCTTTTAAAAAGATATTGAACTTATAAAGCATTAAGGTACCTTAAGAGTCCTAAATACCAAAGCCAAACACCACTAGTTACCTGTGGATGGCAAAAAGTGTTTCTCAGTGTTGCAACTTTGAACGAACAATTCAAATGGATTTTAAAGATATTATTTAAAAACAAAACCAATTCATCTGAAGCCTACAAAACAAGAGTTTTACAGCCAGGAGTGTTGATTTAGGTCCTAAACACTCCACATATTTACACAATATATTTATACACATTATACATATTTTTTTCTTAACATTCCTTACACTGCTCTAATTTTTACACACTGTACATAGATTATATTTGTATACATTTGGGGGCAGTTACGTTCCAACAGAAACCCCTTATGTTCTTTTAGCGAATTTAACTAAATTGTCCATAATCAAATTATGTAAATCAGATAGTCTCTTTGCCTGGCTTATTTACAGACATTCCTTTAGAAAAGGGCCCATTTCCCTTCAGAATGGCTGCAAAGAAACCAGGAATTCTCTTTCTATAACACTTTTCCTTTTTAACATTTTTACAACATTCAACTGCTTAATTCCCTCCAGCTTCTGCAGAGCTAACGTCTCACTCTCTTTCCTTAAATCACTTGTTTAGCTCCCAAAATGATGCCTTCATCAACTCAGATTTCACCATTCCAAGTAGTGTTCCAGGGATCTGAATTCCCCAGGCCTGTACGTGCTGCTTTCTCTAGTCCTGCCACTATGCCCTCAGGGCTTCCAACCTGTTTTCCCATTTTTTTTTTTTATTTGTTGCCTGCCTGCTTGTCTGGGCCCGATTCTGCGTTCCTTGCTGAACCGTCCCTTTCCATGGACACAGGCTTTGTTCCACTACCAATTTAGCAAGGAGGGTGGGCTCCTCAACTAGCCCCCACCCCTCCTGGTCCCTTTCCTGAAACATTTTTCTTTAAATTGTGAAATCACAACAATATCCCACTCTCCTATATCCCTCAGAGTGAGGTCTTACAGAAATCTACCCCTTATTTGCCCACGCTTGTGCTGGGGCTTACAAAACACAAAAAGTCTACACCCACTAAAAACAATGCCTGACAGAGCAGGATGGGGGAAGGCTAAGTCCCCTACCTTTTGGGCTCGATCCTGCTACGACCGAGGGTATATTCACCTATGAAATTTTTCCCCGACTGACAGATAGGAGCGAGGACTCTAATCCTCCCCATTATGGCCCGGCACCTCTACAACCAGGGGTGTATATAGCTAGACAGTTTGTATATATCTTATTTGGATAGTTTTCCCCAACAGATGGGTCGGAGTGAGGACTCTAATCCTCCCCCTATTGCCCGGCATTACTACAACTCGGGGTGTGCACACCTGAATGATCGATCACTTTATATGGATGGCATAACCTTTTAGCAATGTTTAGCAGTACAGTAACTGCTCACTTAAAGTCATCCCGCTTAACGTTGTTACGTTGCTGGTCAATTAGGGAACGTGCTCATTTAAAGTTGTGCAATGCTCCACTCTTACGTTGTTTGTCTGCCTGCTTTCTCCACAGCTGGCAGCCTCCGTATGGCCCCCCCCCACCAGCGCCTCCCGCCCACCAGCAGACCCCGTGGATCAGCGCCTTCCCCCGCCTCCTGCCCGGGGCAATCAGCTGGCTTGTGGCGTTTTGGAGGCAGGAAGGAGGGGGGAGGAGCGAGGACTCGGCGCGCAGGCTCCCCCTCCCTCCCGAACGCCGCAAGCCAGCTGATTGCCACGGGCAAGAGGCAGGGGGGAGGGGGGGGGAGCCTGCGCTAAGACCTTGCTCCTCCCCCTTCCCTCCTGCCTCCTAAATGCTGCAAACCAGCTGATTGCCCTGGGCAGGAGGGAGGGGGGAGGAGGGAGGACTCGTCGCACAGACTCCCCCCTGCCTCCTGAACTTGGCAAGCCAGCTGATTGCCACAGGCAGGGGGAGGAGCCAGAACTCGGCGTACCTCCCCCCTCCCCCGAACACGTCAATCAGCTGGCTTGCGGTGTTTAGAAGGGAGGGGCGAGGAGCCAGGACCCAGCGTGCGAAGTAAAGGGGGAGGAGGTGGGGGGGAAGGGGTAGAGTGGGCGGGCTGAGGGTTGAGCCCCCCGCCCCTGGTGCTTGCAGAGTAGGGGAAGCTGCCCTGGAACCTAACCCCCTCATTTACATTAATTCTTATGGGGAAATTGGATTCGCTTAACATCGTTTCACTTAAAGTTGCATTTTTCAGGAACAGAACTACGACGTTAAGTGAGAAATTACTGTATGTTCAATCACAGTGCATGTCTTCCCCCTTTCACAATTCTCCACCCAAAACTGTTATGCTTAGAAGAAGCCCACGGGATCTTCTGCAGGGGAAACGGCAATACACCACGTTTCTTGAAGATACAACAATTAGCATATGCATTCAATCACACACACACCCCCCACACACACTGACAGTCTATGGTATAGTTACCAGTTTAGAGTCCGGATCAATCTAGTGGCCCGTTAGGTTGATCACGGTTAGGGAGGAGCCGGGTTCTGTCGGCCACGACATGATGTTCCGGGGAAGTCTTGGCAGGACGAACCCAAAGTTTCATGGCTAGGCACCCTGTTTACATAGTGATTTTCCTTTACTGGGACCAATGAGTTTTGCACCATCATGCTGTAATCAATTGTTGTTTGACGAGTGCTTGTTTTCTTAAATTGTCCTCCTTACTTTTTATTTTGTTTTTTTATTAATTTTTTTAGGGAGTTCTCCCAGGCTGGTTTTGATCGCAGCTATTTTGTCCCCATTGATAGGTGCCTGTCTTGTTTTTAAAGTTGTTAATCTGCCCTCCTCTGACATTTCAATAGGGGCATGTTGCAGCCTCCTGGCACCCTTGCGTCTGTCTCCAGTTCCTTCCTAGACCATCTGGTTCAGCGATGCCCTTCACACTTATCTCTTAACACACACATTTCTTATTTACACACAAAACAGAATTAATTTACACAGAACATTTTGAACAGGAACATCAAGTTGCAGTGCAAAAGAAAACACTCATGGCATTCTTTTACTGATTTTAAAATGCTAAACCTACAACAAAGGGGTGACCTTAAAACGTCTGTTACTGCCTTGAAATCAGCCCAGACAGATTCCGGCTGATGCCGCTTTACCAAATGGCCCATTAGGCCATTCCTTTCTGCTCTCCAAAAAGGGTGGCTGGCAGGATATGATCAAATCACACACCAATACATTTAACACAAGCTACATTATTATTCTTTATTTTTCATTTTAAATTATACAAAATACAAACATAAAATCCTCAAAAAGAAGAACAGGAGGACTTGTGGCACCTTAGAGACTAACAAATTTATTAGAG